GGCGTACTCGAACGTTGCGATCGCGAATTTCTTATATTTTAATAGTTTAAAACCTGCCGCTATTATTGTAAATATGACTTTCTTACTAATTCATTTTTTTTTTCTCTTTTAGGTTCCAATAATTACAAGTTTCAACAGGAAGGCGGAAACAGTAAAATAATTTTGTTGGTTTGTAAAAAAATGAAATTTTTGTTTTAAATAAAAGTAATTTGAATTTCAGCTGACTAATTATTTAAATTTGTAGTTTTATAGCTTAAGAAATTCAAGCACCTTAGACAACTATCTTCTAAAAATATGAGTTCCCATAAATAATTTTTACTAATTGTAAAATTTGGATAAGTGTTATTTTAAGATGATTTAATTCAATTTATTAAAATTACGAAAGAATTATGCATTTGAAACTTTCTTTTATAGCTTAACAAAAGAAGCAATTACTGCCGAAAGTTTAATATTAAAAACTTTAGATTGATAAATGAAGAAAGATCTCTACTAGTGAAAAAGTGTAATGATATACATTATTCTTCATATAATATATATAATATCTTTATATATATTATATTTTTTATATAGTGAGGTTAAAAATGATTAACTAGGTGGTCACTATAACATCTCACCTTCGTAAGTACTTAAAAAAGCTTTAGGTTGAGCTACATAAGCCTGAAGTGTAAAATTTCACATCTTTGGTTGATAAATTAATACTTCTAAAAATACAAAAATATATACTTGAGGTTACGAAATAATAATTTAAGGTAGAACATGGAACGCGCGACGATAATAAAAAATAACCTTTCCAAGTGTTGCAAATACACTTCAGGCTGATTTATAACAACCAGAAGTGTAAAATGGCACACCTTAGGTTGAAAAATATATACCTCTACAAGCATAAAATTAGATACCCGAGGTTAAAAAATAATTACCTGAGGTAGAACAAAATACACCTGAGTTTGATTTATAACAACCAGAAGTGTAAAATGACACATCATAGGATGAAAAATATATACCTCTACAAGCATAAAATTTGATACCTGAGGTTGAAAAATAATTACCTGAAGTCGAACAAAATACACCTGAGGTTGATTTATAATTACCTGAAAGGCAAAATGACACACCTTAGATTGTTGAATAAATACTTCCACAAGTGTAAAAAAATATACTTCAGGCTGATAAGTAATAACCTAAGGTTGAAAATAAAGCACTTGAAAGTAGTAAATATCTGCCTCTCCACAGATGTAAAATTAAATACCTCAGGTTGAAACATATATACCTCTGGAGGTATATTTGATTTTGAGGTATTCATTTGCACCCTTATCAACCTTTACGACGTATTTAAATAACAACCTCCTTTATACCTTCAAAATATACCTCAATTTTTTCATAAGGGGAAATTTTTAACATGTTTTTGTTTAAAAAAAAAATGGCGAGTGGGACTAGTCGTGCATTTATTTCGAATAATTAAAAAGTTGTGACAAAAGTATGTTGCTATCAGTCTTTTTCAAAAAGAGATAACGCATTATAGACAACTATTATGCTTTTTGCAAAATATTTTATAGAGTGTTAGGCAGTTAACAGAATTTTTGGTGTAGTTTTGCCAACATTTCAAAAGCTTCACAAGAGAACTGGATCGAAATGGCGTTTCATAAGAGCTTCTGAACCATTTACATGTAATGCTGAGGAAAATCAAACATACAAAACAATGAATCATGCATTTAAACAAACTTAACCACTAGAACAGTGTTTCCCGAACTTGTGACTTTTGTGTACCCTTTCTAAATTTTTCGTAACACCATGTACCACAAATAAAAAAATTTATGTATTCTTTTACCATAAAAAAATTGCACTAAAGTAAAAAATCACAACTGGCTGCTGACACCACTAATTATTAATTGCTAACTCAGCAAAAAATAGCCAATAGAAAAATACGTAATTTTCATGACTGGCTTTGTTTTTAAATAAAAATGTTTGAAATTTTCGTTCAATTGTTGCAAGATATTTCGCATAAGAACACGTACCCCCCTAAACTGTTCACGTACCCCTGAAGGTATGAGTACCATACTTTGGGAAACACTGCACTAGAAGAATTTTCCCAAAAAGAGCAGAAAGTTGAAAGACCTGCACTGTAAAAAATCTCGGTAAACGTTTAACCAATGCTTGGTGCAAAGTTTCTAATTGCACCATAAATTGGATAAATGAAAAATTATTTTATTTAGGTTACAGTTAGGTTTTATGGATAAATTGGTAAATATATTAAGAAATGCGCTTATGGCACAATCAATTACAACAAACTTTCGTACTATGACAGGCAGAAGTTTTAACCGTGACCGATAACTCATTTTGTAGCTGTTGACTGGTGGACGATTTTGTTGTTGAAGCTTGCTATCATCCCTTGCAAGTTGTCTTTAAAACTGTCTATTTCTTTTGCAGGTAAGCAAACTTTTCTTACTTATTTGCATTAATTACAGTTCATTCCTTTCATATCAACTTTAAAATTTTTGTTGTCTGTTCTGAAAGTGTTTGCTTCAAATTTCTTCTAGAAAACTATATTCATTGTATGAATAATTAAATACAGTAGAAACCTCTATTTAACGAAGTTGCTAAATCCCGATAATAAGTTCGTTACATGGAAAGTTTGTTAAACAGAAAATCTTCTTTTAAAATGCCTAAGCACAAAACAGGTTTTAAATTCATAAACACTAGACATAATTTTAAAAAAAAGCAAGGGATATACCTTTAGCGTGTAAACTAGCATCTCCTTTTTATTTTATAAATCTTAAGTATAAAAGAAATCTGCATGGTTAACAAGAATAAAGCAAAACTTTTTCCAGTGTTACACTGTCACGTTACATACATTTTCGACAAAAAACAGCTAAATTTATGCATAAAATTTTGACTGTATTTGATGTATAAAATTATAACTGCAAAGTAATTTTAAATAGGGAAAGTGGAAGTTAAATAGGGAAATTGTTCCTTAAATATCGCCATAAATTTCGTTAAATAGAAAATTAGCTTTGCTATTTGAAAGTTATTTTACAAAGAAATCTTCAAAATGTCCTTGGTTCCTCAAAAAAATTCACAAAATATAAAAATTCGCAAAATGGAAGTTCGTTAAATAGAAGTCCGACTGCATTTTAAAATCTATATTAGCTCTTTTTCAGTAAATAAGGAGATACATCCATTTTATATGCATAGAAAGTGCAATACCAGTGACTGTAAATATGGCAATCTTAAACAACAGAGCGTTCCGCCAAATTTACTGCTGGTGAAAATTTTCTAGGTTCCTGTTTTAATTTAATTCTAGTGAACAAACAAAATCGTATGTATATTCTGTTAGGATTAAGACTTTTTATCAATATCTATGCTTTTGTTTTGATTTTCAAGTTCTATTTTCCTCATTTTAATCCATAATTGTAATCCATATATATCTACATAAAAGGTAACAAAAAGTTTGCATTAATTTTTCTACCTTAACTTAATAAAATATTCTCAGTTTTTTAAAAGAAACAGAAATGTTTCCAACTTTAAGTCGATACGAATTCCGAAACTAGCTTGCACTGACCACAATGCTGACGTAAAATATCTTTAGTAGTAGACGGATCATGGCCTAGAGTTCTTTTGCAATAAGGCTAACCGTGGGAGTTTTTCCTCCCCATGTCGAAAATCCTCCCCGTGTTCTTCCCTCAGGCAAATTTCTTCCATTCTGTTCAATTCTACATTGCCTTAATATGGATTTTAAAATTTAAAAAAAATATGTATAGAATAACATTTTATCTGCTTAAAACTAAATAATGTATTATTGATTCCGATACTTTATTTATTTTAAATAATTTATTTCTTAATTCATTTCAAAAACATTGAAAAAGGAATTCTAATTACAGTTTTAACACATTGTATAAAACATTCTGATAAGATGATATAACTTGTAGGTTAGACAAATTTTAATTGTATCAATTACATTTAAAATTTGATCAAAATAATTTTTATAAAATTTTTTTTATTTTGATAGTAAAATATGCAAGCATTATTCTGAAAATGTATACTAAAGATCGCTGTCAAACAGAATGCCGTAGTAAGAAAACCTAACATTCAGTCAATCATAGTCCCTATTTCTAAGTCTCATGATATTGAATGTCTTATATCAGTTCTGCCTAACTGAATTAAAAGAAAAAAATATTTTTCCTCTTCACAAACAGATTCGACAATAAAAGCTCTGGACAAGACTTATACTCTACTCTTCTATAAAAATTGTTAAATAAAGTTACACAAATGAGATTATGAAAATTATTGTGAACAGGTCATTTCAACATTATCTGTATAAACTTACAAAGAGAATAAAATTAGTCAGCAGTATGAACAGAGCAGTGAGCATAAAAATCCTTAACAAAGATTCTCCTTGACACCATATTCACCATGGAAACTAACCCACAGGTTTTATGAGAGCAAATCCAGATTAGATTCCAAAATTTCATCTCACCATGTATGTAACTGCGTGTCAGTTGGACCCAGAGTGAACTAACTTTAACCTGAAGATTTCCCGGTTCGAGTAACAGCAGGTGCGCAGAAGGCAAATTTTTATTTGTTTATGTTTTCAAAATTAATACTTTTGATGCTCAGTGAGGTCAATTTATAACTAGATGTAACTATAAGTAATTTATATAAAATAAATGCTTATTAATAAAATTAAAACTAAATTTTCCTGGGTTACTATCTTCTATAGAAGATATAATGTATATTTCTCAAAATATTATTAGCAGTCATTGTTGCACTTAAAAAAGTTTTCACTCAGAAAAAAAAAACTTAGATAATTCAGATTGTGTCCATAATAATAGATCAAATGAATAGTGTAAGTAATAAGATTATAAATAATTTAACTAGCTTTTATTTGTATTTTTTTAATGAAAAAAAAACAACTGATGCTTGAAAGAAATATAAAATTTTAAAAAGAATGCAATAAATAAAATTATTATAGATCTCTATGACATCTATTGAGATTAAAGATCTTGCCCAAAAATGAAATATAGTATAGGGATGAACAGGCAAAACAATGTGCAATATTTAGATATGAAAATAACAAATGGCATTTTAAATTTTTTTATCCATAAAACAAAACTATTAATAAAACTAAAAACATTATTTTTAATATATAATAAAAAACTATGCTGAAATTAATATTGTGCAATCAATACAAATCTTGATGCGAGGTAAAATTTTAACTACACAATATTTTTATGTTTGTGTGCAGCTTTATGATATCCATAATAATAAAATATCTAAATTCATAATGATAATACTTAGATCCTTTTGCTCATCTATACAACTCAGTTGGTAAAACAAAAATTAACACCTTTTTCATTTGTCCAGATAAAGAGTGATTCAAATTTAATTAGACACTACAATCTATTTAATTCTTTCATAGAAAAGTTTTTTTTAAAAATATCAGCGAAAAATGAAAACAATCACAGTTAATAAAGCTGTAAATCTAAAACCGGAAAGCAAGTTAGGAAACAGATGGCCCAAAAATATTGAAAAATACACTTTTCGACTCGTGTTCAATAATTTCCAAACCGGTATTTCGGAAGTGGGTGATACACATTAGGTCAGTGTCAACAGTGAATATGGTGTTAAGAATTAACTACAAGAATCAGGTTTCTCACAAGTACGAACAATGCTGTGTTTCATTATATTACTGTTGTAAAATTCTTATTACATATACGAGAATAAGGCTTCTCTCCAGTATGAACACGAAAGTACTCAGTCAGATGATCTCTACGTGAAAAACTCATATTAAATATACTGCACAGATAAGGTTTTTCACTAGTATAAACATAACTATGTTTAGTCAGATGACTTTTGCATGAAAAACTCTTATTACATATAGCACAAGAATAAGATTCTCACTAATGTGAACAAGACTGTGCTTAGACAGATAACTTATTCACGAAAAAACTTTTGTTGAATATACTTTAAGAATAAGGTTTCGCAACAGTGTGAACACGACTGTGCTTAGTTAGATCACTGCATGAAAAACTCTTATTACATATAGCACAAGAATAAGATTCTTACTAATGTGAACAAGACTGTGCTTAGACAGATAACTTATTCGCGAAAAAACTTTTGTTGAATATACTTTAAGAATAAGGTTTTGCAACAGTGTGAACAAGACTGTGTTTAGTTAGATAACTTCTTCGTGTAAAACTCTTGTTGCATATACTACAAGAATAAGGTTTCTCACCAGTGTGAACTCGACTGTGTTCAGTTAGAGACTTTTGTTGCGAAAAACTTTTGTTGCATATACTACAAGAATAAGGCTTCTCACCAGTGTGAACACGACTGTGTCTAGTTAGATAACTTTTTCGTGAAAAACTCTTATTACATAAACTACAGGAATAAGGTTTCTCACCAGTGTGAACACGACTGTGTTTAGTCACATCACTTTTTCGCGAAAAAGTATTGTTGCATATACTACAAGAATAAGGTTTCTCACCAGAGTGAACACGACTGTGTTTAGTTAGACGACTTTTTTTGGGAAAACTCTTGTTGCATATACTACAAGAATAAGGTTTCTCACCAGTGTGAATACGACTGTGTTCAGTCAGAAAACTTTTTTGAGAAAAACTCTTGTTGCATATACTACAAGAATAAGGTTTCTCACCTGTGTGAACACGACTGTGTTTAGTCATATCAGTTTTTTTCGAAAAACTCCTGTTGCATATGCTACAAGAATAAGGTTTCTCACCAGTGTGAACACGACTGTGTTCAGTTAGATGACTTTTTTGAGAAAAATTATAGTTGCATATACTACAAGAATAAGGTTTCTCACCAGTGTGAAGACGACTGTGTTTAGTTAGATTACTTTTTTGTGAAAAACTCTTGCTGCATATACTACAAGAATAAGGTTTCTCACTAGTGTGAACACGACTATGTTTAGTTAGATGACTTTTTTTGGGAAAACTCTTGTTGCATATACTACAAGAAAAAGGTCTCTCATCAATGTAAACAAGACTGTGTTCAGTTAGATGACTTTTTTGTGAAAAGCTCATATTACATAAACAACAAGAATAAGGTTTCTCAAAAATGTGAACACAACTGTGTTTGTTCAGACGACTTATTTGCGAAAAATTCTTGTTACATATACTACAGGAAAAAGGTTCCTCACCAGTATGAACATAACTGTGTATAGTCAGAGGAATTCTTTGTGAAAAACTCTTGTTACATATACTACAAGAATGAGGCGTTACACCAGCAGGAAAAGTACTATGCTTAGTCAGATCACTATTGAAAAGCTCTTACTACATATGCTAAAAGAAAAAGGTTTGTCACTAATATCAACACGCCAGTATTCAGTCACATTAATATTTGTGAAAACTAATGTTACATACGTAAGAGTTGGATTTTAAACCAGCCGATTGTGGTCAGTTAGATGAATTTTCTATGAAAAACTCTGATTGCATGTTTCATAGGAATAAGTTTAAGACTGTGCCATATGTACAAAATTTGTAACAGGTAAACTGTTTTTTGAAAGTAAGTTTTTACTTTATTTTAAAACACTTTTTGCATTTCGCACATATTAAAGCAAGAATTGCTTTTTAACATGATGCACAAATTATTTCGAGCACATTTTTCCTGATTCACATTGCCTAACAATAAGCTCGAATTGTTTAGATTGAATGATTGACAACAACATATATGTAGTGTAGTGAGACGAGATCATTGCTTACGCTTATAGCTTTCTATTCCCATTAATAAGGCTCTGGCAGAAGCTAGATAGACAGGGCTATTGCTTGGCTGAACGCTTTTTAAAAAATAGAGGCATTTGATTGGTCGATTGCATCCTCGTTTTCATCGTTATCGCTTAATCGTTTTATCAGGTGTACTAGAATGACGTTTTTAGCATTTTTGTTTGGCGCAATTTAAATAATTAAAATAAAATAGAACAGTTTTATAAGCAATCTAAGCTGTCCAAAGCATTTAATTTCATGAAGAACAATAAATTGGAAAATGTTAATGATTGCTGAGATAGAGTCTCATAATTGCCTGTTAGCGTTCAGTTAATTAGTTATTAAAACTTTTTCATGGTTTTCATTTGTGCGTAATCTAAATTCTAACTATTTTCATTCAAAATATAATTTCATTCCTGTATTTAAATTACAAGTAACTTTGATATCTGGGTTGCCTACAAAAATTCAAAAAAGTACAAAAAAAAATTAGAGCATTTCACAGCATTTACTATTTATCAAAGATGATAAAAAAAAATTATTGATTATTAAAAAATAATTTTATTGCGATAATCAACATTAAGCTGGAAACCTATTACTATTAAGCAATTTAAAAGTCTTTTTCGTGGTTTTCCCTCGCATGTAACACAAATTTGATTACTTTAATTTAATCTTCATTAAAATAAATTATTCTTATAACTTTGATGAATATGATTGTATTCTGATACTTAAATTGTTAATTACTTTGATCTCTGAATTGAATTAAGCATAATAAGGGTGTTTTATTACATTCACAAAATAAAAAAGCTCACACTTTGATTTCTGGGTTGAGTTAATAAGAAGAGCTTTTCGTTCTGTTCAGAAAGATGGTACCCTATCTATTAAGGATAATAATAATGAAAAAATGTTTATTTATAATTTTACTCCGATACTTAAATTGAAAATTATTTTATTTTATATACCAATAACAGCAATCTGAAAAACATTTTTGTCTGTTTTTCATAGCGTGTAACGCGAAATTTGATAATTTTAATTTCAATTTATTCTTGATTATAATTAATTATTTTTACAACTTAATTATTTATTAACTTAATTATTTTAATTTAATTTATAATTAAATAACTTAATTATTTTAACTTAACTTTAATTTATTTATAACCTAATTATTTTTATAAACATAATTATTTTTATAACGTAAATATGGTTTTATTCCGATACTAAAATAGCGAGTTACTTTGATTTTCGGTTAAAAACTACAAAAATTTGAANTTTCTATCACAAACGCCTTAAAACTTTGTTCTCGATAAAAATAATTTCAGATGATTTTAATCCTTCATCTCTTATTAACCTCGTTATATCATGCTTTTGATCAAAGTTCAGCAGCGTGTGCGTTCTTTCTCTCCTAAATATTAATTTGATCCCTACACACGTTTTTTATTCCATTACTTATTAGGATTCGTAAAATATATATTAACTGCCCGGAATTGAGAACAACTGAATTATCTTCTTCAAAAATGGCAGTTATTTAATTTAAATTTGATACTTATGTGTGTGATCATATCTCAGTGTCAACCATATCGGTGTCACGTATCAATGACATCCAATAAAAATCTAACTGTCAATGAACTTAACAGAGGAGAAGGGATTAACTGAATGCTTAATAAAATAAGAGCTTTCTTTGATGATATGTTTTTTAAATTAGTGGTGAAATCGTCTAATAATTATTTTTAAAAATCTTTGCAAGAAAGGTTTGCACGTGTATTTTTTTTTCAGACTCATGCGAGTTAATTCAAATCAAATAAATATACTATATGTACTCTCTTTTTCTTTCTTCCGGATTCTAACGAATTAAAGAGTATTCATACTTATCAAGGTATTTTACAACAAAGTGCTAACATAGTACAAAGGTACATATACTTGTATTGATTTCTGAGTATAGATTTTTTTTCCTTCTATATTTGCTTTCGGAAATTTAGCTGTATAATATTTTATACCCAATTATGTAATTCTGTTGCGATCGTAATTTTTCTTAGAAAATTATTACTTGGATGATTAGTTGAATATTCATAAAGTACGTTAAGAAGAGGTTTGAAAAAAAAGTAATCAATATCATGCGTAAATGAATCGGTGAGTGCAGAAACCACTTCAGTCAAAAAAAATCCGAAAACTCGTTTTCAATGAAAATAAGCGTAGAAAGACAAGATGCGTGTTGGGTGCAAAAACTACGTTAGTCTGTTGAGTAGTTCCGTAAATACAGGACGTTTGTTTCGAGTGTTGAGTGCAGAAATAACATGAGTCAGTGACTGACGTTGCTTCTGCACCCACCGCTAGATCACGTGACCAGTCTTGTCAGGTACCTTGCCGAGCATGCGCCGTGTGATTAACACCTTAACCTTGAGGTAAGGGTTGTATCGAAGTCAGTTCAATCAAGTGTTTCAACGTGTTCTAAGTTAGTTTCCAACGTCTACTGTCAGTCTTTAGCAATATGTCAGTGAGTCTCACAAGCAGTGAGAGTGATAATGAAACAGCTCCCAAGAAGAGGAGGGGGAATGAAGAGAAGTTTCGAAGAAACGTG